TCAAAATAATGTTAGAATTATGCTTAATGAATTGGTTTTTCCTACATTAAATAATTCCTTCACTACCTATATGCATTAAATACCAGGGATACAAGTGCAAATTCTCCCATATTAAGACAGATCTTTTTTTCAGTGTCCTTCAGCTGTTTATGAAAAATGCTTTAGCTATATAAATTCTATCTCTTTTTGTAATAAAGATTATTTACAATATTTTTCTTATTTGCTATAACACTTCAGTTTTGCATTGACAGGATAATCAAATTAACCTCTTTTGCAGTTCTTGATAAAGATGCATATAAATCTGAAAGTAAGGCATTACTGTGCATGTAAGTAATTTTAGAAAAAGTTATATAATTTCATCTTTAAATCTATGGAAGATTTAAGGATGCTTTCAATTGAACTGCAGCCATGTTTTTGATGCTAAGAAGCATCTTGTTCTAGGCAGATAGCACTTGAAATGCATATGCTTATGATTAATAAAACATTAAACCACATGGTTAAAATTCAGTGTAAAACTTCTCATCCTTTTGTAGAATGTTTTTCAATACTGACATGTAAAGTTGAAAGCCTTGTGAACTTTCTTCTTCTTGTTGCTTTATTTATACCAGATAATCTATACTGTACAATGGTTCTATCTATAACACATTTTATTTTAGAATTTCATTCCCTTCTCTATATAACATTGTAATTTACTACTCTTGGTATTCTGAATAACTATTTACAAGAAATTACTCTTGGTATTATAAAAATTTCTAAAACTATTAATCTCAATGTTTTTGAAAGAGATAGTTTTTTCTCCTCCTTGAATTTTGCATTTACGGTAAAAGAATTTTAAATGCGAGTTTAATGCAAGACATACAAAAGTGTCATCAATTATGATAAAGCAGAATTTATTTTACTCAGTGTAAATGACAGCACATGTCTTATAACTCACAGGTAACCAGTGGCTGAGTGGTAAAAAATCACTGAATACGGGCAGTTCCTATTCGATTTCAGAAGAATTGGGTTGGCTGCATGGGTGTTTTCATGGTTTTCCCTACCAGTACCATGTACATGAGCTAGTTTCCCCGAGAAAGTCCTCAACGAAGGCATCCTCCCCTTAGAAAGAGAACCCTAGTTTGCTTTGCAATAATCAACTAAACCAAACCAATTATGACTCACAGTTCAAAATACCTCTAATATATTAAAAATATACCAAGTTTATGAAATGAATTTAGTTACATAATGTGAATGTGCCTAATTTCTTATTAACAGTTTCAGATATATACATACCTTAAAATTTATGATATACTGAGATTTATAATAGCCTGAGATATCTCAATAATTACTTTTGTAAAAATTAAGTAAGTTTAATTAATAAACTGATCACTAAAATTTTGAAATTCTGTAATAAATACAATTTTTTAAAAATAATAAATGATAATTAAGTAATAAATGAAGGTCCCATTTTGGCAAACGTGCTCTGAAATGAAAATATATTTGAAAGCATAAGATTGTGTATGCAAAATAAAGTGCAACTCATTAGCCAATGGTCTTGTATTTATCTTTTTCTATCATCGGCTGCTCTAGGAAACTTTTGCTTCAGCAGAATTCAAATGCCTACATGCCAGAAAGAATATGACATTCACGCCTTCTCTGAGATTTGATACATGAAACTGAACTAGGTTGAGGTGACAAATTCTGTTTGACTATTAGGATTATCTGGGTTACTTGTAGAAGGCTGACTGCTATCTTGGGGTTTAGATGAATCAAGATGACAACCTTTTTTTTACTAGTTACATATTTAGTAGCATTTTTTGGAAGTTTTCTTCTGGCAATTTTAGAAAACCTTTAGGAATACCTTCAGATTTTCTTCATTACTACCAGAAAAAGTATCTGGTTTCCTTTTAAGATGCAAGATTTCATTACTTTGTGTACTTAATTTATCTATTGTCAGGAAGTGTAGCCTGCTATAGAAATAAAAACCCATTCCTTTTTCATTGCATAACATTAAGAGTTCTCCCCCCTTTTTTTTTGTTAAATATTTTTGGCAGTTTTCAAAGGTGAATTTATGCAAAGATCAATCTATGGAGTAGATTTGTCGAGCCATACATAGTATCCCTTGATTAATGATTCCATACTCTGATCCAATTCTTGTACTACCACTTTGATAGTTTCAATATCTATATAATTCAGTAGTATTCTTCAGTAAATGAAGTATCTATCTTGTTATGAAGTATTCACGCACAGGCTCATTCCAATCAATCTTTCCAAATGGAACAACATCACTCGCTGGCCTTCTAAGGCTGAAACCTGAATGTATATACAAGGTATGTCTTATGAATGTGTACAATTATGATATTTATGAAGGGTACACTTTTAAACTGAATACTTTGCATAATAAGCATTGAGCAAGTTTTTAATTACACAAGTATTATTGGGGGCACATGTATGAATACAAGTCATTTGCAAAATGACACCACAATAGTCTCAATATCACAGCTTAAAAACAGAAAATAAGTCCATAACTGTTTCAAAGAAAAATGTAAAAATACAATGCAAAAATTTATTCCATCATAACAAAAATGTGCCCACCAGTGCTTGAGCAGTAAAGTTGCTCAAAGCTGGTAGTTTGACCTGACTGCAATTCTAGGTAAACAGATTGGCTGCATGTGTAATGAGGATACGAGTGAGTGTCTTTTAGAAAGTCCTCTATGAAAGCATGCTTCTGCTTATGCAAATAGCTCTCACATACTTTGCCATAAACAAATCATGCAGACCAAGCCAAATCAAATTAAAATAAAAATGAAAATCACAATAAAATAAGTCAAACTATTACTAAATAAGTAAATTAAAAAGTATGTAATTTGAGTTTAGCTGTAATTCTGTAAAATGTCCTATGCATTATATGTTTTTTTTTTTTTTTTTTTTTCAAGAAGGGGGCAATTAGCTAATCTAGAATCAATATTATTGTTAAACATATTAGTTGAATAACTGTATTGCTCTTACATGAGTAACAGATTTTACATGTTTCATTATTTACATGCCTTACAGATTTTCTATGCCTCATTATTTACATAGCTTACAGGTGTTAAATGCCTCATTTTGTTTTTATTTGGTAAAAAGGGGGATAATAAATTTCATTGCAAAACATTTTGATAGGTAGTTATGTATATGACTTATGATATGAACTCTATATTCAACTATCATATAAATACTATTCCTAATATACATAAAATTTAATTTTTATTTGCCTCTATAGTCAACCCTCTAAGGTATAATATAGCATGGCTTAAGTAATAATTTTTGCAATACAATGTATTGTGGAATGTGAAACATGAATACAGAAACATATTAAGTGCAAAGAACATAGAGAATAAAATGCCATTTTAATCATAGATATTTACAAGAAATAATGCTTGATATTTATCAGAATTGTTCAGATGAACTGTTACTAACTGCAATACATGCATCACAATGACAAAGAAGTGATTGGCATATACTTTGAAAGCTATTCAGCAAGTCTCTGCTGCAGTGATGCTAATTGGCTGACAAGGTCTGCAGTAGAATCAATCTCTGTTTCGTAAACAAGATCCACTGTCATTGTAATGCATGAAGTTTGCATTATCTATTTGTACAATTCATTTATAATAATTCTCAAATATCTTGCTGTAATCATAAACAATTACCAAGGACTTCAGTTTACTTAATTAAATTAAATAAATCATGAAGGAAATACTGCAAAATTTTCACTATCACATTCTGTAAGTTGGAGATGATTTATATTTATGACAATTAAAATAAAAATGAAACAAACTATTTTTAGTTTATTTCTTATTATTTCATTTATTCTTAGCATTTAAATCCACTTTTATTAACTGCATACAGCATTATTTTATGACATCAGGAAATATTAATTTATTAAAATTTATTGAGATAAAGATGAGGAAATGTTTAATGCAAATTACTCTTTCCATTACATAATGCATGTAACTAAATATGTGTTTAAATACTACAAAATATGTATCCTTCTAGCAGGTTTAATGAAATTTTTATATTTATACTGCAGTTAAAAAATGAAATACAATACCATTGCATTTTGTCGAATTTTGAACAATTAAGACTTGAGAGCATTACCATGTCTAACAGCACACAAATTTATCGCATACATATTTCTAAAAAGTTATTATTATTTCTAATTCGTACAATAAATACTAAAAATATTAAATGTGCTATAAACTAAATATCAGACTGAGGCTACAAATGTCCCAGAACAAATATACTGCAAATATGTTTAGTCTGAGAACTTAGGTCTGTTTAAGCCAGATATTTCTAGCAACTGTGAAGTAAAACTGCCACTCTATAGGCAAATTTAAAGTTCCTCTGAATTCAGATTACTGTACATAACTATGAATATGATATGAAAGCACACATTGACTTATTTTATTGCACTACGATATGAAAGCACACATTGCAAGAAAGAAAGTACAAGAAAATGTTTATAGATTACTTGCAATCAATGCACATAAAATAAATACTAAAAAGCTATAGAATAAACCATGTTTGAACATCGATGAGTACAGGGAAGCATAACAAAGCAAATGAATAAAGCATTAAATAAATATTTACAGGTGCAAGACACTTATTTTTACATACATTATCAATATTTTATATTTTATTCAATTATGTGCTTTTTCTAATTTAATACTCTTTGCTTGATAGCACACATAATATATTTTCCGAATACGTATCCCGATCTGCTGCTACGGATAATCCCTCAGCAGGGAAAAAGTATCACGCTGTCCTCCTACAAGAAGTACGTCATTGGATGACAACAATAACATGGTCTACCATAATAAGCTGTTTCTCCTCGTTTTGGCGTCAAGGCTGTTCTCCGAACCTTATTACTTCTTAATTGAGAGAGGTTACGTGCTGGCCACATCAGATTTTTTTTTTTTGAGTCGTTACCCTGAACTGAGATCAGTCACATTCTGTACCTGCAGTGGCAACGGCTATATGCGTGCGCATCAGCGAAAGGATGATGATTAAGTTCACAATAGTTTAGTCCAGAACCTTCCATTCGTTTCTCTTAGTTCTGAGAGATTGTAACAGTGTTAACGTATTCTGCCTGTTCACGCAGAGAAGAAAGCTTTTCATTCGCGAAATTTATATTTTAAGCATAACCACGCCATCTCAAAGGTAAGTTTATTTGATCTTTTGCAGTATATTTTCTTTTGAATGAAATTTTAAGCCATGCAGTTGTTTTAAAAATGGCTGGTTTGCGTTGTATTAAATACGTTTTAGTTCAAATAATATTTGAGAAGTAATATAATAGTAGCATTTCATGTAGTTTCTTATTTGATGAAAGAATACAGTAATTAACAGTTCATACGATTAAAATTTTTTCGATTGGAAATCAGCTGTTAAATGTTGTTAGGCTTCGAATAATAGTTATCTTATATTATAATTTTAATCCTTATACTAGAATTACAACGTATTTATGCGAAATTCATATATAAATATTAACAGAAAGCTGTTTGTCTTTTTTTTTTTTTTTTTTTTTTTTTTTTTTTGTTCGAAAAGTACGTGTTCAGTAATTTCGTAGTATCGTAGAGTGGTCTATTGTCTAGCAGACATCTGCTATAAATAACTTAAATCTATGTAGATTTGATAGTGCGGTGATCATAGTCGGATGAAAGTCATTTTGAGTTTAAATGTAAATATTTATTCTCATTTACCAACCATTATGTAGTTTTTGTCACACGTTAGTGCGATATTTATTATGAGAGTTTTATTAGAAGCTGCTAGTCTCTAAAAATCATTCATCTGCTATTCTAATGTTAAATATTTATTGCAGCTTTAATGTTTGAAAATAATGCATTTTTGGAGACATATTAAAGAAAATTAAAGGTTGTTGACCTTCTGCAGTAATTAAGTAATAAATAAAATTCTCATTCTGTTAGAAACAGCTTTGGTTTGAGTATTTCAATCCTAAATGCAGTGTAACTAGTCCAGAAATTAGCTGCTGACCAAGTATGGTACCTTAATTTTTTTCCTTAGTATAGTAAAACCTTAATATGTGGCATTTTATAACTAATATGATTATTGTGACTTCTAAGCATCGTGAAATAATTTTGTGCCAAGCTGTTATAGTACTATAAGATCTATTAAATTAGGCAACTTCTCTTTCTCTAATTTTCTTTCCCACCATATTTTGGTGTTAGGATTTAATTTTTCCCCTAAAATGTATGCAAATACACTAAAAGAAAAACCGTTAAACACTCTGATTTAAAACTTCTAACGATCTCGCGCATTCATTTGTAATGTCAATTAAGTTTAATATTGCTGATGCAGATTCATTTTGCATAGTATGCATATTCATAAATCGTCTCAGATGAGCATACACTTGTTCGCGGTGACTAGAGAACTTTCTAATGAAAAGGCTAATTTATAATTAGAGTCAATTATGGATATTGGCTGCACAATATGATAAGCATCTTCTCTTAGTGCAGATTTTAAGTACTGTAATTTGACTGGATCTGTTAAATTAGGATTTGAATCAACACTGGCTAAAAAGATATCTTTAAAGGAAAGCCACTCATGTAAGTCACCTGAAAATGTTGGCAAAGTAATTTTGGGTAATTTAGCATTGCTCTCAGTATTCGTGCAAACCAAAGGCTCTGATTTAATTTCTTTGGAAAGTTTAACTAACTTACGATTTAATTCGACTTCTACATCTAAGAGAATATCGTCAATCTCTTCTTTCTCTTTTACATAAGCATCAATACTTTCTTACGTACATAACCCGACCAAAGAATCGAAATTGGAATTTACATCTGTCTCAAGCACTTTAAACTTATTCTTCAGTATTTCCAAGTCACTTCCTTGGACATTTTCGTCTGCAGCCTTTTGTTTTAACTTTGTTAACTGTGTTTTCAATGTAAGTTTTTTCGCTAATATCTGCTTTAGTGACATTTTGATTAGCAAAAGTCAATAAACAAAGAGCTTCAAGAAGGGGGGAGGGTACTTACCCTTTCGTTTCTACAGAACTTCAATCTGGAAGTATCCTTTGTAATTCTTCGTTTCACAAAACCGAAAGTAAATTCAGTCTCGTAAACTTCATTAGCTGCTCCGGCTCGACGAACCAAAAAACTTGAATTGACTTATTCTATTTCCCATCGATAACTATATATAGTAATAAAATAACACCACAGAAATTACACAGAAACTCTAATTTTCAATACATTTATTTTCCATAGCGACTCTCGGCACTAGGTTTCACTTACAGTGTAACATATGAATCACAACTTCGAATGTACCACAAAAATCAAGTTTCTCACAGAATATATTTGAGCGCCAACTCTGGTGGCACATGCGCTATTAGCCAAGATTCTCCTTCCGTCGCCAAGTGTTTCTCAGCTAATACAAAACACGGATCTGGGAATTTTTCAACGAATTTTTTAGAATATTGTAACATTGATAAATCTCATTTAAATAATGGTAATATTTATGGAATTATATTTAAAAAATAACATTAAAATAAAGCTTTATTTTTCTCTGTCAAACCATTTTAGCCACTTGCACAATATTTTGAATGTGAAATCGGTTATTAAATTTTAATTTCTCTTCATATTTTGTTAAATTTTAACTTAAACTTTTAATTACTTTAAGCATTAATTATTGAATTTTTAAAATATTAATGCTTTTAATTAGTCATTTTTTAAATTTTTTTTTATCTTTTTCCTGACAGTTTTTCACAAGTCTCTGGCACATCTAATTTTAGAAATTAAGCCCTGGTTTTCTGTATAAAATTAATTTTACACTTTTTTCCTCCCTTTTTTTTTCAAAATCTTTCTACCGTTATGTTGTTACAGAATTGGATATTTTAAACAAATATGAGGCATCATATATATGCAATTCTCTGTTGCAGATAGGTAATTTTGTAAGTTTGTGTGCTAAAATGTGTTTAATTATACCAGTGAAAGTCTTTATTACAAAAGTTTTGTTTTTGCCTAGGCTTAAAAATGGTAAAGGAAACTACATATTACGATATATTGGGTGTAAAACCAAATTGTACAGTTGAAGAATTAAAGAAATCTTACAGGAAATTGGCTTTAAAATACCATCCTGATAAAAATCCTTCTGAAGGAGAAAAGGTGAGTAGTTTTTATAATTTTGGATAATTTGAAATTAAAGTAGTTATATTGCAGTAATTAAAATTTTATTTTAATGCTGTGTAAAATTTAATAGTTCTAAAAAATTTGTTAATTTAAGAAAGTAAGTAAATAATAATAAAAAAAAGGTGCTACTTTGGTAGATGGTTGCACGGATCTTTGGCGATTTTTTTTTTTTTTTTTGCAAGCGATACGACTTATTATAACCCCACTACTGGACAAGTTATTTATGGTAACCGATACTTTGTTGTCATTTTATTTAAAAAATAATGCGTTTGTGCTACTTTGGAAGACGGTTGCATGGATTTTTGGCGATTTACGTTGGCACAGTTTTTACAATCGTCAGCCATCTTGAAAAACGTTGTTTTAACATATTTTACGCATACTGTAAAAAAATAAATATTATTAAAAATAATGGATTAAATTTTTGTTGAAAATGTCGTTTTTTAAGATGGCAGGCAATTGTAAATGAGAATACATTTACTATGAGTATAATATACTAAAGTAAGGTTAAATTATTAATTTCATATAACAAAACAATAGAATAAAAACACCGCTATAAAAACATTGCGCTATCTTTTAATTGTATTAAAATATCGAATTAAAAACATCATGCCAACTTTAAAAAAAATTATTACTTAAATTGAATATCAAATTAAAAACATCATACGTTTAAAAGAATTAAAATATTACTTAAATTCAAATCCTTTAAAGTAAGTTTTATAGGATATAATTATTTAACATTAAAACATGTGGCAATGAATACCTCGGCAATTTTTGAAAACAGTTTATTAATTTTTTAGGAAGCACTTCCGCAGAGGATCCGTTAAATGTAAACATCGCCAAAATTGGCGATAACAGTGCAAAGTTGGTAACCCGGCGAATTCGGAGGTCGTAGGTAGCAACCTGATTCTTCAAACGCTTAGACCAAAGAATCTGATTCTTTGCTTAGACAACGAATCTGTTCTCGTATGTTCTGTGCCTCCGTGGCTGGTGGTGCATCACTACCGGATGAGCAGGTGAAATTACGGCGGGAGTGGGGGGGCTTATTGATAATTGGTAACATGCCTGTTTAGAGTAGTATGACCGTGTTCTTAATAATTAAAAGACTAAACACTCAGGACCATAGGGTACCCGAGTCCTAAAACATGATTAAAGTGGGCTGCAATAATATAAGGTTTAAATAATTAACTAAAGTTTTTATTTTTATTACTTTATTTTTATCTAAAATAACAAGATTACATCACTTTCTGCTTAAAAATTTGACATATTTTTAATGTATCTTAGCAATTACCTGTCAGAGGATGCTAGGTGTTTATAGTATATGATAGATGATTAGAATGAAATAAAAAAGTAATAATGAATAAAAAAAATATTATTGGTTCTCTGAGATGAGATTAAAAAAAAAAAAAATTAAAGATTTTTTATTGGTCATCAAAGTTAGTAAACCACTTCTTTGAGTAATTAATCAAAGTTTGACTTTTGAAAGATAACAAAAGTAATGTTCTTATAGTTTTATTTACAATTTACTCTAAAGGATTTGAATATTATGAAGATTCTTGCAATGTCCATTTATTGTGAAAAGGCAGTTGTTTCAAATAAAAATATTTTAAGCTATCACAAGTAAATTCAAAAATAACTTTGAAAATTGCTTGCATAAAATGGATGTTTTGAAATGTAATTCTGTAATGAATCATTAATCTATTATATGTACAGTAGCACTTAACATATGAAACACATTTTGGGAATATTGACAAGCAAAGCACTTAATGAAAGACACTTTAAATGTACTAAAATATTAGTATCTGTATGAACAACAGAGAATATATGTAATGATATACCATGACCAAATACCTATATAAACAAACAAAATTAAGTATTCTCATCCTCAACACTGAAAAAGTAATCCTGCTGTGCAACATTTAGTGAATTTCTGATTGCATGATATTGCAAGCATTTTTTAGATTTTCTACTAGGGTTAAGACCATTGAATTGGTAGTTTGATCTGTGTTCATCTCATGGTTAAAGGGCTGGCTGCATGGTTGGTTTTCTAGTTTTCCTCATATAATGCAAATACAAGCCAGTTTCCCTTAATGTTCATAAAGGCTCCTCCTTCTTCAGGTCACAGCCGGTATGCTTTGCCATATAAATACCTAAACTTTCCTTCAGATTACATTGAAAGGTTATATCTGTAGTCGCAGGCAATGATCATTCAGCTTCTAATAGTGTGGAAGGATATTTAAAACATGTCAGAACCTGGGATTCTAACAATCACCATTTCATGAAACATTTTATCAGTGTGCCGTTTTTCTTACGTTATGGGTTTCACTAACAAGATTTCTACTTTTGTTCCAGTTCACAAGCAGTTCAGCCAATCGTTGCTGGAATATGGTAGTTTGACCCTATTTCGGCGTGAAATAAGTCACAACAATAAGGATCCATTTAATAAATTCTGGCTGCCATCAGGATTGCTTTCAGTGACATAAATCTCCAGCAATTTCCTTAACAACACAGTTTTGGAAGGGAAAAAAAAAAAAAAGCCCTTTTCAGGCTATACAAATTTAACAAAAGATATATGACATATTGCTAATCTTGAATTTGCTATTATACTTTAATTTATATGCTTTATAGTTTAATCATTAATATTCTGTCTATTCCTGTAATCTAATTTTTTTCCTTTAATATCATTTTCACTGTTTGATATTATTTTTGCCAGCTAACTCTAATTTATATTGTTAATATGTTCTTCATAATTTTTATGCTTTAAATATCATATTTAACCTTTGATATTTTTTTCTGCGGCTACACAAATTTAGATGCGTTAATATGTTTTTTTTTAAATTTATATGCTTTAAACACACGGATCACCCGTTTAATATCTTGCAATATGTTGTTTAATATATATAATAATATAACTTTTTTTTCTATGCTTTAAATATCATGTTTAAACTTTTGATAATTTTTTTCTGCGTTTTATATGTTTCTTTAATTTGTATTACGGTTAACCTTTTTAAATATCTTGAACTTAACTGTACACCGCTAAACTCATGGCCGATTAGCCGTTGGCGAGCTTGGCGAGTAAATACACTTCGCTGCCAACCGATCCTCTCCGGAAGAAAACCCATTTTTTAATATAAATTGAAGTGTACAATTATAAAGTAAAAGAAAAATATGTACTTGTATTTTTTTAGTATTTAACCTGTCGTATATTGATAAGTACCACAAAAAAATCGGAATCATAATTTAGATATTAATGAAAAAATTTGAAAAATGTAATTTAAGGGAAAATTTTGTAAAAAAAAGTTTTAAATGTAATATAAGGATTTCAAAGAGATGAATAATAAAATTTTAAAATGGCGTGAACCAATCAGGGAACTGATTACAGCTCGTTAATGCACAAATATTCTGTAACCAATCAGAAAGCTGATTACATCAAGAATAGAAGTAAAATTATTTAAATAATCATACATAATAAAATCTTTTAAAAATACAAAATTAAATTGTATTTTAATATTTAAGTCATAAATAATGTTTGAAACCAGTTTCTTTTAAAGTAATGTGGCGTCATTCATTGCATCATCAACAACATAAAATTTCATAAACAATGAAATTTTTATTTCAAATTAAAATGCAAAATTAAATTGATTTTTAATAATTAGAAGCCATAAATAATATTTAAAACATGGAATTTTTGCATAATAAAATGACAACAAATTATCGGTTACCATAAATAACTTGTATAGCAGTGGGTTTATCATAAGTCGTATTGCTCGCAAAAAAAATAAATAAATAAATAAAAAATAAAAAATTGCCAGCCAAAATCTTTGCAACCGTCTACCAAAGTAGCACCTGATATTTTATGTTGTGGATGATGTAATCAATGATGTCACCTTATTTTAAAAGTAATTGGTTTTAATATCTATAAATTTAATGTTTTAAATGTTATTTATGGTTAATTATTAAATAATTAAAATAAATTTAATTTGCATTTTTGAAAAAAGCTTTTATTATGTATGATTATTTAAATAATTTTAATTCTAGCGTGTAATGTACTCAGCTCCCTGATTGGTTACAGAATATTTATGCATTGAACGAGCTGTAAGCAGCTCCCTGAATTGGTTACTGGAATATTTGTTGCATTACCCCGCCAGTTTAAAATTTTATTGTTCATCTCTTCGAATTCCTTAGATTTCATAGTGTGTTTTTTTTTTTTTTTTTTTTTTTTTTTTTTTTTTTTTTTTGTGATACTTATCAATATACGACAAGTTAAATACTAAAAAAAAATGTAAGTACATATTTTCTTTTACTTTATAATTGTATACTTCAATTTTTATTAAAAAAATTAATACACACCGTTTTAAAAATTGCTGACATATTTATTGCCACATATGTTTTAATGTTAAATAATTCTATCCTATAAAACTTATTTTAAAGTATTTGAATTTAAGTAATATTTTAATTCTTTTAAACGTAGGTATGTTTTTAATTCAAAATTCAATTTAAGTGATGTTTTAATCCAATTAAATGGTGGCGTAATGTTTTTATGGCAGTATTTTTATTATATTTCTTTGCTATATAAAAGTAAGGAACTACTCTTATATGTGCTCTCAGGTCGCCAAATGCGGCGACAAACATTTTTGGCGAGAAACTCCATGCTACCATTACTACCTAAATTTTTTGTCTACATTTCAAACTTTTACCCTAAAATGTCTGCAAAAGAAAGCGAGTTTCGCATGTGTAAGATGTGTTTGCACGTTGAAAACACGATTAAGCTAAAAATCCGAAACAAAAACAAACAATTTAGATAGCAAAAATGTAAAGTTTTTAACCAAAAATATTTGACAAGAATCCATGTACGCAATGATATGTTTTAACTTTAAAAAAATCACAAAATTGCACAATCCATGCAACGAAGGAATCTATGAACTAAGCACATCTAGTTTAAATAAATTAACATAACAATAGATTTCAAAGAATATGTACACTGTTTTCTGTTTAAACTTTAAAAAACATCTACGAATTGCGCAATCTAGGCATTGCGCACCAATCAACAAAATAAAGTAAAATAAATTTCAAACAGTTCAAAAAAACAACAATAATGACAAATTCGTACTAAAAGAAACAATGAGCATAACATTCTACTAAATAAAAACGAGTAAAACAAAATGCATGTACCGTAAATAAATGCTTCTTCAAACAGCAGAAATAACAATTTCAAACATCACCAAAACAATTTCACCACAAATTTGTTAAAAGCATCTTCTCCTGTTTCAGAAAAACGATGGAAAAATATATAAACCACCAAATAAAACTCTAAATCACATTCCCAATTATAAGTCGGCAATGCCGCTTTAACGTGACGTCACGTAATCTCTATCATATTGATATGACAACCACACTCACTATCCACAAAATTGGTACTATGTTTCACAAATAAATGTTCAAAACCTTCTTCTAAATACTTGTAGAATTTCCAGTCACCCGAAAAAATAGTTTTACCAGGCACGCTACTAAAATTTTGTCAACACGTCCATAAATCACTCAATTACCATGCGAACCAACTAGCAAATCCTAAGTTTCCACGTAAAAAGGATTGCCATAGAAACGAGCATCGCAGAAAAGAACACGCAATCGCACCAAAAACCAGCGCATAACACATATTGCCGCATTTGGCAACCTTAGGGCGCATATAAGAGTAAAGCCAAAAGTAATAATTTAACCTTACTTAAGTATTTTATACCCGTGTTAAATTTATTTACATTTGCCTGCCATCTTAAAAAACGACTTTTTCAACAAAAAAATAATACATTGTTTTTAACGATAATTTTTAAAAGTTTTGAATACTTTACTATGCTTAAAATACGCAAAAACAGGGTTTTTCCAAGATGTCTGACGATTGTTCGAACCGTGCCAACGTAAATTGCCAAAATCCATGCAACTGTCTACTAAAGTAGCACCAATAAAACTGATAATTATGGCATGCTGTAATGCTGGATTTAATTTCGAATATAATGAATTAGATTGCAAGATTGCATTTTTATGGGATAAGTTGAATTTAAGTAAAAAAATTATTTTGAAGCATCTGTTCATTTTAATATCCATGTTAAGTGGTAATAAAAAACTTACAAAAGGGCTTGAAAGATGGGATTTAAAATGTGAAGCATTCTTAAATTTTTTTATAGGTGAAAATCAATATGTCTTAATTTAAATGGGAAAATTTTTTATATGGACGGTTAAAATTGGCTTATGTAATTGCCATATGTACAATGCATGAAATGTAAAACTGATGTGATTTTATTTCTTATGTAAAATTATTCAAAATAACATTATTTCAGATAGCTATATCTTATATCTTCAAATACCAGATTTATTACACCATATCTATTTTACTGTTTTCACAACATAAATGGTGTAATTTTTGAATTCATGTGGGCGTTCAGGTAGAGGTTGCTTGAATTGTTGATAGTCATTGCCACAGTATATTCAAAACAGATTTTAGGTCCTGCTCATTATGTTAGGAAATAAAGAATACCACTTTACAAAAATATACTTTTATTTAAAGATTGCATTTTACATGCAGCTTCACGTTACAATATATTAGCTTTTAAATATATTTTCAGTTACCACTAACAGTGCTTGCACAATGACAAATTAAGATAATGGGATTATGAAGAAACAGATTATTAACCCCTTGGTTCTCGTACAAGTGAAAATTTGTAATCGCTGCCCAAGGTCACTGCCAATCCTTTCCTCCCAAATCTCAACATTTGATAAGAGTTGCTGTGGTTTGGCCATACTTTCGAGTAAACACGGAACAATAGCCAACCTACGCATGCATGGACTACGGTTACTTGTTTTAAATACATATTACATACTTTATACAGTGAAATACAAGTCACTGCCTCTAACAATGAAAATATGGATGATATAAATTTGTTTTCTTGCCCATCTTTTTTTCAAATGCTATGTTTATAATGTTTATGAACAGAATAGTATATATGAGCCAAAACATATCTCACAAATTCAAAAAGTTGCAAACGGATTTAATCAGATATTACCATTTTCTCTTGGTATAGAACATATCATGTTTTTATTTATTTGTATGCATGAGTAGGTTACAAAGGTGTTAGAAAGAATTAAGATGTAACTTTTTAAGCATATGAGGAATTTATAACAGATATGGGTACTTTTCCGTTTTGCCGGCGCAGGTGATAGTTTCCAATAATGGTACAACCAAAGCGAAATGAGATATCCTCATTGGTTACCTTTTACGCCTCATTTTGAAAACAAGTCACAGCCATTTCTTGTCAGGTTGATTGTTTCTTTCAATACAGGCACACAATTACATAGAATTTTTACAAGATAGTTCAATTTTTATGCCCTAAGGCCATTCGCGGTAATTAAGTCAGTCAGGATGCAATCACACCGCTCACTCGAAGGTGAAATTATAGAAAAGTCAAGGGTTAAATTCATGAATTCTAATGAGAATGCACTAGCGAAGTAACTGTGGTTTTATGTAATTTCTGTGTAAGCTATTCGTACGAATTGAAATAATTCTTGCATTTAAACTTGTATTCAAAATTAAGATGTAACTTGAAATTAATGTAGATAATTACCCGAGAGGATTAGATTTTTGTAGCATAGTTTACGCAAGTCACGTGATATGAACCGGCGAATCAGGATGTTGAACCATGAAAGCATACATAGTAAATTCTTAAATTAATGTCTTTTTACAAATTTATTGGCATTTTACAAAACTTTAAACGATGTTGAAATGTATACGCCTTCTAAATAAAAAATTCATAGAACTAACATTTATAAACATTTTTATGTGTAAACTGTATGCTGTCGCTAATAAAGTCTGCTTGGCAAGATTTGTGCAGGCGAAATGGAAAAGTACCCATGTATATAAATTAATATCTGTGAGTTTTCAGCCCAAAATAACAATGTGGTCTTATTGCAGTAACAATGAAAATTGATATATGTTAATGTTCTTTGCAGTTTAAACAAATATCTCAGGCATATGAAGTTCTGTCTAATCCAGAAAAGCGTCGAATATATGATCAGGGAGGAGAACAAGCTATCAAAGAAGGTGGCGTTGGCAGTGCCAATGGAATGTCTTCCCCAATGGACATTTTTGATATGTTTTTCGGAGGTGGTACTAGGAAACGTGATAACAAAAGTGCGAATGTTGTTCACCAATTGGGTGTTACACTTGAAGAACTGTACAATGGTGCAGTGAGAAAATTAGCTGTACAGAAAAATGTTATCTGTGATAAATGCGAAGGTAAGATTTAAGTGGAAATATTTTATTCTTTACTTGCTTCATTTTCAGAATTTTTTATCTAATAATCTGACACTTGTTGGTTTACATATTTGTTTGAATTATAATCATTTTGTATCTACACATAAATTTAGCTATAAAATTTAACTTTATTAAAAGTTAGCCATGTAAAGATTGCACTATTGGTGTGAACTTTAAGAAGGGGATCTGAGTGCTTAAATATTACTGCGATTGAGGTGGCCACAAGCTCTTAACCCATTTATGTGCATTGGTGGGAAAGTGAAAGGAATAATTAAGTTTGAGACACGTTAACATGTATTCAGAAATTTACTTTTATTATGTAGAAACATGCAAGTTTTTGCAGTATTATTATTTTGGGAGGAGTGCAGGAGGTTTCTTCAAATTCTTATTTATATTATTATATGAGTAGTTAGATAAAATTTTCACATGGAAAATCATTGAGAAGGCATTTGGTGGATTAAGAGAAGTCATGTGCAATTAGAATAGAAGCAGGACAAACATTGGCACAGTTCTATGAAGACAAAGTAATCTAAAGTGTCATATCAGTAATGTAAAAGTGGTTTAAAGCATCTTTGATGTCAGCAGACAGTTCGTTCAAGGTAAAAATATATTATGACAGACTTTTGGGGGCTGTTATTTGGTAGCAGTGTCTAAAAATAAATAAATGACTGGCATTAACCCAGAAGGCAAGAGATTTCATTTCACCTACAGAAACTTGGTTGTTCAAATATAATGAATAACAGGCTATATGAGAAAAAGGGTTGTGTGCAAGAGAAATCCATGATTTGTGTCCTGCTAGCTTGAGCTGCAAAATGTGCCCAATTGCAGTGGCGCATAGATCATCATAATTTCAGTGTCCTGATTTGAATCCAAGCTCTCTTTTACTGATCTGTCTCGTTGTCATTTAGAGAGTGTTACCAGATGTTTTACTGTTTGTAGGAAGCAAAATGATACACCATAAGTATGAAAATGTCTGAAAAGCTGTGGTAAAAAGGAGATGGAATCATAGTTTGGGGGACATTATTTTAAATAGCCACACTAACCTAGACATTTTTACCAGTGTAATTTTGAATGTTGAAATATACAGAGAGGAGGCTCTTAATCCTTATGCTGAATTGTTTAGGGTTGCAGTTAGTAATATCATTTTCTAATGCATGTTGGTGTTTGTGCTGCAATAATGACTGATTATTTTGAGAATAAAAGAATCCATGGGTAAAGTGGGCCAAATATTCTGTATATATATAAATCCAATAGAAAATTGGGAAATAAAATACTAAGAACATTATGGGAGCTGTCTTTTCTGGCAGCTAAATGACAGTTCATATTGTAATTTATAGCATAATCTTTTAATGCCTTTGAAGAGTGTATGGTGTTTCTTTCAGATACAGGATGTCTGCAAATTAGTTTGGCAAGAAGAAAGATTTATTTGAATGCCATTAACAGGGAAAAAATTAAAGTACATATTGTTGGTAAGATAGAGAAATAGTTTACCTTTATCACAAATGTTCGATGTGACTTCCTTTCATTACCCTATAAATATTCCATTGGTAAGTCATATCTTGCTACAGCTTTGTCCCATGTTTCTGTTGATCAACTGCAGTATAGATTCTGAATTTTAGGTCAGGAATGGATGCATGAAGTGGTGTCATGAACACTTGATCCTTTACAAAACCTTACACTGAAATCAAGCGGTGTTAGATCTGGTGATCATAGCGGCCATCGATAACACCTCCACGACCAGTTCAAAAGGGCACCTCATCTTTAACGTTATTATGGTAGTGATAAGGCACGCCATCCTGTTGAAACATGAAACTGTCTGGTATTTTTTTGTTTAATGATTGGCATAAGGAAAATCTGTAGCATGTCCAGTTAATAATTCCTGTAACAGTCTTTTCCACAAAGAAAAATGGGCTGAGAAGATTTGAGGCACTCTCTGCACAAAATGCGTTTACTTTGGAATTATCCCTTTCATATTGCAGGATGGCATGAGGATTTTCCGATCCCCAAATTCTTACATTATGTTTATTCGCTTTACCACTTAGGTGACAAGTTCCTTCGTCACTGAAAACCAATTGTGACAAGAAATCATTATCACTCTTCATGCACCTTAGCATATCCATGCAACATTCTTGTCAATTTTTCAGATCATCGGGCTTCAAAGATTGAAGCAAGTGTTAATTTGTAGGGTTTGAACTTGAGAGGCTTATGCAGGATTTTTGAAACTCGGGATTTTGGAATTCCTAGCTCCAAACTAGCTATGATGTGGATATTGTGGGACTTCTCATGAACATTTCTCTTAATACGTCAAAAGTTTCTTCTGAAGCTGCCTGTTGGCCTTGGCACTTGATTCGATGAGCCACACGTCCTTTTTCGGTAAGTTGTCGATACCATGCCATAATAGTATCTCTTTTTGGGGCTGTTTTCTTGTATTCTCGAACAAAATTTTGTCTTACTTGCAAAGTAGAATTAATTTTATGGAACCAGAGACAGCAATTTGCTTTTTCATAACCTTTATACGTCTGTCTCCATTTTCATAATGCCGAACAACAATGAAAAGTGCGTTAAATGATAGCGCCAATTATAATAACATCCAACATCATCTGTGAATAAACTTAGGAAATATTACTACTAGTCTAAATTTTAAACTGATTAATTTCATTTATTATTTCAGAAGTTATTTACTTACGAAATTGCTCAATTAATTTATAGACATCCAGTATAATTTTAGTATCATTGTTTTTTATTCTTCGAGTGGCATGGCTTTTTTAGATATGCTCATGAAGATTTGCATTTAAATAATTTCTATCAGCTGAATTTTTATAATTGAATTTTAGTAGGTATATTTAGTCTGTTTTCATAAAACTTCCATTCATTAAAATATTTACATTATTTTAAAAAGAAAAATGTTTTAAATTATAATCTGATATATGCCAAATGATAGTCTCATGACCAAATTAGACTGTTATGCCACTTAGGTTAAATGCTAATTAAAATGCTGTGTTATTTAAATTGTCTATAAAGCTCCTGCGATATGTAAACTTTCTTTTAATGTGGCAGTTCCCAACCTATCTCATGGGGTTCACAGCATGTGTAGGAAAATAAAATGAATGAACTTGTTAAAGATTAAAGAATAAAATACCTAAAGAAGAATTAAAAAAAAAAAAACTTGAAATTATGTTCTGGGTGGTAATTTATTTAGTTCAATTTGCATCTCTTCTAGAAGACTATGTGTCGCTTGTTAAAGGATGCACAACGTAACTGCATGTAATAAAAACATTCAAGTTGCCACAATTGCAATTTGTAGTTTTGAAGCATTCGTCATAAGTAGTGAAAATGAAGAAAAAAGAATATTTTACTTTCAAGGTTAGATTATGCGATTTTGACCGCATAATTGATAATATGTATTTATCACAGAAACACTACTTTAGTTTTTTTCATCATATTCCTGAACATTTTATTATGTAGCACAGCATTGTAATTTAAGGCAAGAATTGGAAAAATGCTCTTTTATCACAGAGCAGGATCTAATTGCTGTTCAGGATATAGTTTTTACTAACAAGTATTCTGTGGATCTGAAACAAGTGATTCACATCTAGTTTGTGATCATGGATAGCAGTAATTCAAAAAATAATTTTGTGCAAGGCACTGTAGGCCTTACTCAAAATAACATTTTGTGGAATTTCTGTGAAAGGAAAAATTAAAGAGTGTACATAATGGCATTTAACATTTTGGTAGATCAATTTCAGTTGGTCACAATTTGCAGTACGAAAATGATAGAATGATAAGCAGAAAAATGATTACAATTTGGTGTATCAATATTACACGAATCTATATATTTTTTGAATGCCTTCAAATTCTTTACATACAATCATTTTTTACTATCATCCTAATATCTGGAGATGTTCTTAATTTGAAAATGCCGGTAATTTTAATGTTTTAAACAAGTGGTTGCAAGATCAGTATCGGCAAATTCAGGAAATATGCAGATAGTATGATTAAGTATTTTATACCACATACTAGTCACAGTACCTGTATCAAATAAAAATCTTCAACCAATCAGCAACATGACTGCTGGCATGAAAGTGACACTTGTGGAGTTGCATAAGGTGTATCAAATTCATAGTCGACTGACATTACCAGATTAGCAGTTTTAAGGGTTACGTATGCCTACTTGCAAAGCTTTCAAGAGGATCTTCTTTGCAAACTATCTTGAACTGTCAGAGATTTCAACAAGTGAAATACTAAACTTTTAGAATGAATTCTTATTAAATGAAATAGCATCGGAAAATAATATTTTTGAATGATGCTATAAAAATAATAAACTGTATAAAATCATGACCTTTTAAAAGCAGGCTCTTCAGATAGATATGGAAAAGAATAAAAACAACTATCAGTTCTTTCTGCTACATACTGAAGTAAGTGGTTTCGCAAGTCTGTTCGCTCGCAAGTCTATTAACTGCTGCTTTTGCCTTTGGTGGTACTTTTAAGTAAGTAATGAATAATTATCATTAGAATGATCACAATGAATAATAACTTTAAACAACTCTGCACATCCAAATCTCAACATGTAGCCTTTGTCAAATATAGCTACCTAATACAGGGTTCGTAGCGGTCTTTATAAGTGCTTATAAGTCCTTATATTTGATAATAAAATATAAAGGCCCTTCTAGGTGCTTACTTTATCTTTAAAGCCCCCCTTTTTTTTGTTTGTTTTTAGTCCTTATTTTTTTTGCTTTTAGTTTTTTTTTTTTTTTTTTTTTTTTTTTTTTTTTTTATTGAACGCGCTGTTTTTCCCGGTACCAAAGCCGAAACTAAATAAGCAACTTTTCTTCCTAATGTGGAATGTCAGATGGTGAGTCATACTCCCGGAAATAGCTTTTCCCCCTTTCTCTGCATTAACATAACCTTTGGTGTGCACAAAGAGTACAGACAGGTGCCCGTTGTTCTATTGGTCAAAGAATTGCGAAAGCAGTAGAAAATTCCGCTACATTCGGCATTCTTTTCCTCCTACCCAAATACTACACACGTTTGAATTTCTATCAAGATTTTAATAATTTGCATTCTTGTTCCACGTGTTCAGTTCATATTCGTGTTTATTATGATCGTTATGCTTATATTATGAGTATATGCATGAATATTTATAATAATATAGTTGCAGTAACTGGTGAAGTATAGATAAACTTCCAAAAAATGGGCATGTTTTTACACAGATTAGCTTTCTAAGGAATAATATTCGGAATGGCTTAATAAAAGGAAAGTAATTGAATAGTCAAAATAATTTCATTTTTTTTTTCTGCCAATACATTATACAGTACGAAGGTTGGGAGGTCTCCCCTTTCTCCGCAAAATCTTGAATATTGAAACTGTTACAGTTCCCTGCAAAACAAGCAACGGACCTTCTTTTTTTTTGGGGGGGGGTCACTTTCCAATCTGCATTGAATAGGACTAAAAGTTCTGCGGTCTACCAACCCAAGCGGAGTTGGCTTTATTCCGGAAATTTAACACTGTCTGTTGAAAATTAGAATGAAAAACACCCCATTTATTTAGTCCTTTATTCTCCCAATGCCGGCAGTTGTTGATTCCGATTGCATAATATCAGGTAGGGAAGAATTACGACACACGTATTGCGCAATAACGTTTGCGATATTTTGATGTTCAGTCTGAGATTTGTTTATGAACACTTAAAAGAGTTTTACTGTGCTTGCTAAGCAGAATATTTTTTAGTTCCATTGGTTTATTTTTATATGATGTACATATTGAAATGTCTAAAGCATTTATTTAGCTGAAAAATCAAAAGAGTGGCTACAGTCTATCCCCCTCCTCCTCTCCTTCAAGTTACGCTCGACTGTCCGAATATTCGCCAATTTCCAAGTATGCGAGTTAAGCTTTTACTGTTAAAGATGACTGCATGAAGCAAATTTCTGTCTTCTGATTTCAGAAATGTTCCTCTTTTTTCTTGCAATATCTGTTAAGAGAAAACTGATATACAATGAAAATTTAAAAAATGTTCAGAATTTAGATTTAAATTATTTAAATATCAATACGAGTGGAAATATAAATTGTATTTATTATTAGGTTCCAAGCAAATACAATAAATATGCCTTATTATTATTTATTTTTTCTATTTTGAACTGAAATTTCATCATTAAATCTTGTAATATAGTTTAGTTCTTCGTAGTTTTTTTTTCTCTCATTGTAAACTAGTTCTGTAAATTAAACTATTATTTAAAATTAAAAACAAACAAACAAAAAAAGTAATTATTTTCCATGGTTAAGGTAATGTTTATTCTCTCTTAATAAGTACTTTATTTCTCATATTTTAAATTACAAGTCTAATTTTTAAGGTTATGCAGTTGTGTATGATGTAATTAGACAGGTGCTTATTTTTTTCATAAAATGTGCTTGAAAAGTGTTTATAGGTGCTTATTTTTTTTAACTAAAATGTGGCTATGAACCCTGTATAACTTGATGAGTAAAATTCCAATTTTGCTTTCAGTTATAAAAATTAACATAAAATAAGTATGCTATTGATGACTGGTTGAAAGCTTTAATAATTATTGAGTATATTTTCTCAAATTATCCTTTAATTTTGATGAGCAGTGTAATTCGTAAGGTAGAAATGCGTCAAGTTTCATTTTAGGTTTTTTTTACCTGAATAAAGAAAATTTAACGTTATCCCATTAAGGCTCCTGGAAGTTGTTTCTGTATTTATCTGTATGTTGAAAACATACTTTTAAATGAAATTATTTGTTAATAACAGTTAAAAGAGATGAATTAATTTTCTGCATCTGTTGGAAACGTGTTTATTTTTTAAGAGTTGTGTTTATGCTTCTCAGATCTGAAGCAAACATGTCGTATTAAATTGATTTATCCTTCTAATTTCAGGTGAAGTAATCAAGCATCAATCGCTAAAATGTATTCTAAACGAAGGCATGCCTCAGTATAAGAATCCGTTTGAAAAGGGCAGACTTATAATACAATTTATTGTGAATTTCCCAGAAACTATCGATCACGTTGCAGTTCCCCAGTTAGAAGCTGTTCTACCACCCAGACCTGAACATATTATTCCTGATGATGCTGATGAGGTATGTTTTAAAAAAAAATTTTGTTTATTTTTATCCATTGTTTTGTTGCATAATATTGCAAAATTGTTCTCAGTCTGCAACCATTATCTGAATTAAAAAAATTTTGACTGTTTTGTGTTTAGTTGCAATAATCAGATAAATATTTTTTACTTGCCTGAATTTGTCCTCTGGTTTTAGATGAGGTGTTCTTATAATTTTCTTTTGCTGTTTAGTGTTAAAAAATAGAGTTACATGCTTTACATTTAAAGTTATTGTTTATTTAAAGTAATTTTATAGTTAGGATGAATCTAATAAATTAAAATTTTTATTCAGTGGAAATGTCTTTTTTAGTAGTTGACTCCATTCTCATTCATACCTCTTGATAGTTATTGAATGGGTACTGGGAGATCGTTACTGACTTTAACACTTATGTATGCTATTTCTTACTGCACAAAACATGTTGCTATGTTTTGAAAATAATGCCATATCAATGCAGACTATTTGTTAATTTACTTCTGCACTCAATTAACAACATTTTTCATAACGTACAACAATGTGACTTGCCAATATAGCTTAAATTTTCTGTATAGTTCTTACGTCTGCCGTGTGTGTTTCAAAGACTACATTTTAAAAATTCTCAGAGGAAGAAATCATTTCATAAGCTAAGGTAATTGCAGCAGCCAAAAAGTTTCTAAAGCAAGAAATAATTCAATGCTGAAAAACCGATCATAGGAAGCTAACTCTTAAACTTTTAACTCGGTAATCACCTTTTCTATTGAACATCTTACTCGTGTGAGTGGTTTTCAAGACTGACCGTTTCTGAAGTCCCTTTGTAGCTCACTAGGTGGTAATCAATAAACATAAGCTAATCAAGGAACAGAAGCCAGTAGTTGATGCAGTAATTTGTCTTCAAGAAAATAAGCATCAGCCATTAAAGACAACATCACAAATGTGCACTCTGCAGTACCAAGAAAAAGCCTGTGAGGACAGTGTGGGAATGCATCGTATGCAAAGTTGCACTCCGCTTGAAAAAGAAAAACTGTTTCCATGACTACCATGGAGACTGATTTGTAGGGATGTGTTCTGTGGGTGGTGGTCACTGACAATAACACTAGAAGTGGTCATTGTTTTCACCCGTCTTGGACAAAATATGTGTAATTGTTGCAAATAATTTCATGGTAACACCTGATATAGTAAATAAAGCAAGAGTTTTGCTGAAAAGGTTAATTGCCTTTTCCTGCCCGTCCAGTTAAAAGAAGCATGATATTTAGATGTCCTGAGTGAGAGTTGCATTTATTAGTTAGATTTGTATAATTTTTTTTATTTTGTTTTGATTTCCATCATCTATTTATTAGGATGACATTTACATTATTAAAACTACGAAAACAATATTTTGAATAATTTAGTATTTGCACTGAAGTAGAAAATGTCATGTAATTTTGTACTGCATATGTCTTTCTGATACCAAAGTAAGTGCAAGAATATTTTGTTCTCAAAATAATATGGGCCATTAATTCTAAAAGCAGATTTTCAGCAGCATACTGTAATCTTACTGTTGTGGCAGTTTTTTTAATATAATTTGCAAGGATAATTTCTACACAAGTATTACAAGCTCTGCTTATTTATGAAGCTTACTAGTTCAGAGTGTTTCATAGGACATTTTTTGACAAATAAAGATCTGATTTGTTCTGCACAAGGTCAAGAAAATGCTTCTCGATAATTCCCTTGCCATATGTAGTTCGTGTAAGTCATTTTTCCGGTTATTTATATGAAAATCTTACAGTATTACTGTTTAAAACCATTGCTGTATCAATGAACATGATTTCTGAAAATGCCTCAATAGCAAAATTGCAGGGCAGACACTGATCGGCTGCTATGTTTGACCGAGCAGTGCACTTTGTTCACCAAAATGGGATCTTTCATTGAGTATTTCTACACACATTATGTCTTTCATACTGTGATGCCACAGTAAGTACTCTGTGAATCAAAATGCATGAATTATGTCTTGTATTATTTGTTGAATTAAGGTTTTCATATTATTTAGTATTGCAATGGGTATTACGGATAGTTCATTTTGTGGAATGGCATGAAATGTCTTATGCTTAGTAGATCCAACAGTTTGACCTAGCCTGATATTAATTTGCCATGCTTTTAACATTTTATTGAGACTTTTTTTTGGGGGGGGGGAACTTGAAAGAACTTAAAAATGTTTGTTTTTAGACAGTTATCTTTTTGTGAAGAAATTTGTCTTCATTTTCGTTTTATTTCAGATGTGAAAGTTAACAGCAAAATACCTGTTAACATTTAAACAGCAAATCTTATCATAAGGCTAATTATAAATCGGTGTACATTTTTATATCTACGGGAATATCGAAAGAAAGAAAACTTTTACTTATACTGTGCAAGGAATGAAAATGCAAGTACTGAAATCTGATGCAGGTTAATCGGGCCTTAATTTCCAAAGTTAGGAGTATAAAGTCGTGTGCCTGGCCATCGGGAGAAATAACAAAAACAAATAATAAATAATTGATGATAAATTTATCTGAAATGTGAAGAGATGTATACAAAATCAATAAATTAATTAAAAATTCTCTTATTTTGGAGCTTCCAACTCCAGGTGGAATAAATTTCATTAAAAAATTGAAAAGTTTTAGAACTGCCCTGTAATGAGCTCTTGTTCAAGCCTTAAGTATAAAAATAAAAAAAAAAATATTAGAAATACTTATTGAAAAAAATCCATGTCCCCCCAAAAAATTTAAAGTAAAAGAAATAGAATACTAAAAATAGTATGAGAACATAGGAGATTTTGGTAGGTATGGAAGCATAGAGAAGAAGTCAAGCACACTGTGACTATAATACCATGCCAGTATAATGAGTTATCAAGCAGTTGATGTGACAGGGGAACAAAATTGGCCCTTTCTGAATCTGAAGGTTAATGTGTAAGTTGAGAACCAATGCAACATTTCTGTGTAAGTAATTATTTTTATACCTCGGCAGCTGTCTTTTCTATGGAAGTCAGAGACACTTGAGTTATTTATCTTAGTATTATACAGTGCTAAGTCATTCTTTTCTCCATCCTGTTGTAAATCCTGGGTTAACTGATAGTGCCAAATTAGTGAATACAGTGGAGTGACCAGTAGTAATTTTGGAAGCAGAAAATTTACTGTTTTTAATTTTTTTCTTCCACAGCAATAAGGAAAAGAATCTGGATTTGTCTCACAGGGAAAGAGAGGCATGCAATCATAAGTTAGTATTAAGTTTCAAGCCTGTTAAGTTCCATCTAAGACAAAATGTTAGAAGAGAAATTTTTTGTAAGAATTGTAGTACATTTGCATAAAAAGTTCCAAAGTGGATCTTATTTAGGACCTAATGTGCTCTGGTTAAAATCATGAGTATCTTAAAAACTGAGAATTATCAGAGCCAAGTTCCTGTGGGCTTAATTTATAAAATGGTTAGGTAAAGGGCTAACTATCAATTTTTGCTCTATTATTGGCCTTGCTGAAATGAATGAACTGTTTAATCCCAAGGAAGTACTGAAATTTCAGTAGAAAGTCATTTTGTAAGTATAAAGAATTGCTAAAAATATAGGGATAAAATGCAAAGCCAGATATTGCAACTAGTTCATTGTTTATGGCTGCTTTGTACTAGCTGATGTGTTTTAATGTATGCTTCATATAAATTTTAAGTTTAATATTTGTTATAATAAACTGATGCATGATTTTTTTTTTAGGTTCCTTTAATGGATATTTCACCTGATCATGATTCTAAATATCAAAGATACAAACAAGTATATGAAGAAGATGAACATGATGGACCTCGAGGTGTACAATGTCAAACTCATTAGGACGATTTATGTAAACTAAGAACTTATGTTCAATTATATATATACACACACATACATTCTTACATACATATTTATTTTCTTTCAGTTTGTAATTATGAGCTGCATTTTTGCTGTAGTACAGGGAGACATTGTAAACTTTAATTGTTCAGTACTTCTGTATGTATTTATTTACCTGTATTTGATTCATTAAAATTTGTTTTATTTTCAGTTTATTTAGTGTTGAAGAGTTTTATTGATTTAAAAAAATATTTAAACTTTAGTTTATTCAGAAGTTTCATGAAAGTAGGGGAGAAAATGAACTTGCCGGTTAACGTATTCTGGGGTAAACAAGATAATGGGTGCAAATAATTTTGCATTTAAAAATTTTGGAGATGATAGAATTCCTTTTGTTTTAGTTAATGCTTATAGTTTTTAATGTAAATAACCAATTTTGCATTTAAAAATTTTGGAGATGATAGAATTCCTTTTGTTTTAGTTAATGCTTGTAGTTTTCAATGTAAATAACCTTCATTTTTTGTCATATACAACATTAATTCATCTTTCTTTTACATATTTTGTACCTTCTTATTAATGCTTTTTCAGCAAGTTTAATATAAAAATGGAATGTTTGAAGCATGTATAAAGCATATGTCTCATGTATGAGGCGTATTCGGAAACTAAGTACCGTTTTGAAAAAAAAAAAAAAATAGTAAAACAATTTTTTCGAATCCAATTTTATTTTTAGATGAAAATGCATGTCTTAAACTATTTTTCAACATGGTTTCCGCCAATGATCAAACACTTGTCATAGCGGGCGACCAGGTTTTCTATACCATCGTCAAAGAAACTTCCCGCCAGTTTCGATAACCACGACTCCACAGCATTTTTCGTGCCATCGTCAGATACAAAGCGCTTGCCACCAAGCTCGCGCTTCATGTGCAGGAACAAGTGATAGTCGGACGGCGCCAAGTCTGGGCTGTACGGCGGGTGATCGAACTGCTCCCTATGAAACTGTCGAATTAACGATTGAGTGACACCAGCAGTATGGGGGCGAGCATTGTCATGGAGCAACACAATTCCTTTACTGAGCATTCCTCTTCGTTTGTTTTGAATGGCACGCCTTAGTTTTGTTAGTCTCACAATATCGTGCCGCATTAATGGTTTCACCTCTGGGAAGAAATTCAGTAGGCAGAACGCCTTTCCTATCCCAGAAGGCAGTGCACAGGATTTTTTGTGATGACATTGTCACTTTGAACTTTTGTTTTTTCGGAGAATGAGTGTGTCTCCACTCCATCGATTGTTGTTTCGATTCTAGTGAGAAATGACACACCCAAGTTTCATCACCTGTCATAATTTGGTTTAAAAAGTTTTCTCCCTCATCACTGTACTGCGTGAAAAATGTCAGGGCACTACCAAGTCGCTTTGTTTTGTTAACATCAGTGAGCATTTTTGGAACCCGTCGGGAACACAGTTTGCGATAATTCAAGCGGTCAGACACAATTTTGAACAAAACAGAACATGAAACTTGTGGAAATGCCTCTGAAAGAGTTGTCATTGTGAAGCATCTGTTCTCATGAATTGCTTCATCAACTTCCTTACCAAATCATCAGTGACAACAGAAGGCCGGCCACTCCGAGCCTCGGCGTGAATATTTGTTCGACCTCCATTAAACATTCTTACCCACTTTCTCACCATTCCATCACTTATCGCGTATTCACCATAAACTTGTCACTTAACGATAAATTTCGGCCGGTTTAACATTCCTCGCGTTAAAAATTTAATCACGGCACGAATCTCACAGTCAGCGGGAGAACTAATTGTCTTAAACATTTTGAATGTGCACAGCAAACTGAAAACACAACATAGAGCAACCAAAATGGCGACAATTGAAAGTCAGTGAACAAGAAAGACTAGTGCGCATGCGCAGGATGCCTACCACAGCGCTGCGACGGCGCTAGAATGAAACCGTACTTAGTTTTCGAATACGCTACGCATTAGAACAGAATTTCTTTTTTTTTTTTTTTTTTTTTTGCAGTAATAGATTGTAAGATGCATGCATTCTGCATAGTTCTTGTATTCTTTGTGATGGAATTCAAAGCATTTAACAATTTGTGTGTCAAATTAAAGTATCAATTGTTTTTTAACAACAGTTCAATATTTTATATTTCAAGATTCTTATTAACTACCTGCGCTGAAAAGACTCGCCACACACATCGAGATGCTTGTGTCTCAAACCGCGAACGACGTGAACACACATCAATAGACATGTATTGCAAAAATGAAAATAATGTGGTGCACACTTCGTCTAACAACAAGATTGTTTATTTCTCAAGTTACTGTTCTGGATTGCACTCGCAGGTGCGAAGGGAGCTGCATAAATGAGACACTTTACCACTTGTTATATTGTAGCGCGTGGCACCACAACAGTGAAGTTTAGTCGTAGTGCAAGTGGTTAAGCTATGTATTCTAATAAGAAATTGGAACAATTACTGTATTATCTGTGAAGGCTGTGTGTAAAATTCTGGATAATTTTAAAATTAAAAAGAAAAAATTATTAGAACGTAATTAAATGAGATTTCATGCAATTTTCATGGAATTCATTTCATGTGAATTCATTTAATTTCATTTGTATTGGTGTGAAAAAATATAAGTTTTACAGCCAACATGGAATTTAAGTTGGCCAGGCATGCTTATTCATTTGTGAGGTAGCTTCCATTGATTAATCTTGCATGCTGAGTTTTCATGGGATTTTTTTTTTGTATAAATTTATTTTGTTGTCAGAGCTTTGTATAAAATGTGTATTGCCATTTTAATTCCATAATTTGTACAAATAAAGTATTAATGTAGTTTTCTTCCAAGATAATCAGAAATTTTAATAATTTTATTACTATCCTTTTAATAAGATAGGATTCAATTTATGCAGCTGAGGTTCTGTCAGTATGTGAGGTTGCATTTTTTGCTGATTTTAAGGCAACTACTTATTTATGGTGGCAGTATTTGAAAGCTTATTGTAATCCGGGCTGTGGAGTCGGGTAGATTTTTGGGTAAAAGGAGTTGGAGTTGCTAAAAAACACATCGACTTAGACTCCAGCTTTTATTGAACAGTTTTAATTTGACATGAAATTAAATTGAATTGAGAAAAAAAATAATGACAAATTAAGTTAATATTTTTATTTATGAACTATATACATTAATAGTTATTTTCTATTTTATTGACATATTAGTAAATAAATATAAGGGAGCAGGATGGATGTGATATTTGCCATTATTGATTAAGCTAATTCATTTAGTTACTAATCTCATTGGTGAATTGAGGTAAGCCGGAAGAACTCCCGAAATTGTTGCCATTCTTAGGAGTGAGTAGGAAAAGAAGCAATGCAATGGAGAAGTACATATTTGATGATATAGTGGTTGTTAGGATTAAGAACGTTTTCAGAAGATGTAAATAACCCAAATATTTTACTAACAGAAAGACTGTGGAATGATCTTGCAGAACTCGAAGTCCTTCTTTCAACACCATATATAGCCACAAAAAAACTACAATCTGAAGAATGTTAGAAGATGTAGATAACCTTAATGTTTCACTAACAGAAAGACTGGAATGATCTTGCAGAATTAGAAACTCTTCTTTCTAGACTGTATATAGCCACCGTAAAGCTACAATCTGAAGAATTAACAAGAGGCAAGAGTGGAAGAATGCGATGTTTGTTCTTTCTGAAATGGAGGGTCTAAAACGCTGAATTTTGTTGGATGACAAATTAAAAAGGCAGATAGCCATCTATGAACTTTCATTAAGAATGAAATTATTTTCAGAACAACTGGAGTATTCAAATCAGGACAGTCAAACTGAAGATATTGCAACTGAGTCTCTATCGGCCTCTTCTAATGATGAATTAGATTTTGAGAAATATTTGGATAATATTGCAAAGGCTAAGGCAAAGCAAATGAAAATAAAGAACCAAGAGCCTTTAGATATAAAAATGAAAAAATACAAACAAGATTTATACAGGGCCTTTGAAGAAATAGATAAATATGATTGCTCTTGCAAAGGACACCTCTTTTAGAACTTACAAAAATTTAGCTTGAAAATTTAAAAGAAGTAGCCGTTACTATAACAGCTCTTCTACTCAAATCAGTGTGGAAAGACTCTTCTTAATTTTGAAGTTTATCAAATCGGATCTATGGTCCTCTAACAAAGAAGATCCTGCCCCAAAGTTTTACTGTTTCATAGAAATTACTAATGCCAGTTTTTTTATTTCATAATAAATGCTAATTAATATAAAAAGTTTGCTATGCATAAATTTTTATCTGTATCATCTACTACTTCTTTTATATTAAAAAAATAAGCTGTATCCATGTTTATGTGTTTACATATATGAAGGAGTCTGAGTCGGTCATTTTCCCTACTGATTTCACATCCCTAATTGTAATGCCATGATTAACATTTTTAATATTATAATTTCATTATATTTCACATCTTGTATCAGTAGCTAAAACGTGCAGTTAGAATGAGAAGTATGTATGAAAAAGTATATTTTGCCATAACGTATGGTTGAGAAGTATTGACCATTTGAAAATAGTGATATTTTATAACATAATTACAAAGTTAATTCTGTATAAATCTACATTTTTATTAAATTAGGAATTAAGTAATTTTTGTAGATGTCTTCTAACTCTTATCTGATTAATCAAGCAGTGTTTAAAGTATTATCAGTATACACAGTTTAGACCTTTCCTTTTTTTCTTTATTTTTTTCCCTTCCCTCCCTTTTTTTCAGTTTTCATGGTGAACTGCAAAATCATAATTTAGTGTTGAGTTTCCATGCCATTTACTAAACTGATTTTCATTCTTTATACTCTGTAATCATGTTGTGAAACTGATAAGTAAAACTTGTTAGTGTCAAATCATGAATATCAAAAGAGGAACATAATTAACCATAAGGGGGGAAAGTACTTATTTATTAGTGTAACCACCTCATCACATTCTGAAAATTTGACTGTTATGCATTTAACGATTTTTCAGGCAACTGTGTGCATAAAAATGAAACATGCTTAATTCATTCAAAAGTGGGAAAAACTGTAGTAATTGTATTAAAATTTTTTCTATAAAGTATGTAAGGTTTGCTAAATCAGTAAATTTAGGTTTCTGTCTATATTTTATATAAAAAACAGAGAAAAGTATTTATTAAGCTTATACAATATTTTGTCTTCTTTAACCACATCAGAAGTAACCA